GTTGAATCGACCCCTGTTGGAGAAATCAGCTTTAAGCGGTGAGTTATCTGATCAAGTTAAGTAGAACAATGGACTTTTAGTTTGTTTTAAACAAGAATGGTTTCCTTTAGAGGAGCAGCCAACCAATGAGTTCATTTAAATAACACTAGATTTTAAATTGTAAATTAAAATTGCACAGCTGTCTGCTGATCTCTCTGCTCTAATTGTTTACATGTTTAATTAGGAGCGATTAAAAATAACAAGAAACATTGGCTCAAAAAATAAAAATTTAATAAATTGGAATCGATTTCTAAAAATCGGTCTTTGTTGTTTAAAACCAAAGCTGATTTTCTAAGCATTAAACGAGCCTAAAAACACTACCGTTGACTTTTCTGCCTCTGACGAACAAATGAGTTCAATGTGCGTTACTGAAAACTGGAAAGGAGGTAAATAAGTAAAGTTTGCTGCATAAAGGCGAATGTTTGTTAGAACGTCAGAATGTGGTGCGACTGATCCACCTCCTCTTTGCTTTAATGCCTTGCAGATGTTTTAACGATGTACAGACAGATGTTTACTGTTGGGCAAATAGTTCAGGTGTTTTTGAGATGAACTGCATTTTCAGTTTTTTTTATTATTATTATTTTTGTATAACTTCATTAGCAGCACGTGTTCATTTTGTATTTGTTGCTCATTATTTTGTGCAATATATATTATCTGAAAGAAAAAAAAAGAGGCTAAAGTTGAAGGTTGAGTGTTTGTTGTAGCCGAAGGAGAAATGTTCTGTTGTGATCAAATCTGTGTTTAAATAAATCAGCTGGAACTGAGTCCAATCAGGTGTTTTCTCTCTCTGTTTATGTCTCCTGGCCTCTGATTTGCTGTTTGCGCTCGTTATTAAAGCAGGTTTAATCTTTTAAAAGTAATATAAAGAAACTTACCTGTACTTATTTTAGAGAATTTGGAGTCTTTAGGCAAGTGTAATCAGCAGCAGCAGCTAGCTGTAGCACTTCCTGTGGGTCATGACACCGGTGAGGGTCACAGAAGTCCATGTTGGAGGTCTCTAGACCTGAGGAAACCAAAATTTAAAAAACTGCTACATATTGTTAATAGAACATTACAAATAAAGTTATCATTGAACAAACTAAATTAATTAGAGTTTGTTACGTAACTTATATTTTTGTGAATGTTTGTTGTTCAGATCAGAGATTTCTGCTGTTGTTTGTAGTGTTTTTAATTTCATACTTAAATCACGTTTTCTGCTAAAATTAGCATAAAAACAAGCTAAACATAGCAGACACAAGTTAGCACCTAGAAGGAGTTTAAGATGTGTAAAATTATCAGAAAAGAAAGCAAAAAACATGTCAGTTTCTTCTAAAATAGCTCATTTAGCCAAACTTTGCTGCACAAAAGCTAAACATAGCTTGAAAAATTAAATTAGCATAAGGAGCACGAGTTTGCTGAACAAAGCAGAAATAAGTTTAGCTAAAAAAATGTATTTAACATTTAAAAAGCTAACAGCTGAACATTAGCTAAAATTGCAGCAAATAGCTGAATACAGCTGAAAGCAAGGAGCAGAAATAGCTTCAAAAAGTAGAAAATGGCAGTAAAAAGCTAAAATTAGCTCCATCCATCCATTTTCTTCCTCCTATCCGGGGTCGGATCGCGGGGGCAGCAGCTTCAGAAGGGAGGCCCAGACCTCCCTCTCCCCAGCCACTTCTTCCAGCTCCTCCGGGGGAACCCCAAGGCGTTCCCAGGCCAGCCGAGAGACATAGTCCCTCCAGCGTGTCCTGGGTCTTCCTCGGGGCCTCCTCCCGGTGGGACGTGCCCGGAACACCTCACCAGGGAGGCGTCCAGGAGGCATCCTTACCAGATGCCCGAGCCACCTCAACTGGCTCCTCTCGACGTGGAGGAGCAGCGGCTCTACTCTGAGTCCCTCCTGGATGACCGAGCTTCTCACCCTATCTCTAAGGGAGAGCCCAGCCACCCTGCGGAGGAAACCCATTTCGGCCGCTTGTATCCGGGACCTCGTTCTTTCGGTCATGACCCAAAGCTCATGACCATAGATGAGGGTAGGAACGTAGATCGACCGGTAAATCGAGAGCTTCGCTTTCTGACTCAGCTCTCTCTTCACCTCGACGGACCGGTACAGCGCCCGCTTTACAGCAGACGCTGCGCCAATCCGCCTGTCGATCTCCCGCTCCSTTCTTCCCCCATTCGTGAACAAGATCCCCAGATACTTAAACTCCTCCACTTGAGACAGGACGACCCCCCCTGACCCGGAGAAGGCACTCTGCCCTTTTCCGGCTCAAGACCATGGCCTCGGATTTGGAGGCACTGAGCCTCATCCCGGCCGCTTCGCACTCGGCCGCGAACCGCTCCAGTGAGAGCTGCAGATCTCGTTCCGATGAAGCCAACAGGACCACATCATCCGCAAAAAGCAGAGATGCGATCCTAGCCCACCAAAACGGGTCCCCTCAACACCTCGGCTGCGCCTAGAAATTCTGTCCATGAAAGTAATGAACAGAATCGGTGACAAAGGGCAGCCTTGGAGCAGTCCACCTCTCACCGGTAACGAGCCTGACTTACTGCCAATGCGGACTAGACTCTGACACCGGTCGTACAAGGACCTGACAGCCCGTATCAAAGGGCCCGTACCCCATACTCCCGAAGAACCCCCCAGAAGGCCCCCCTTGGGACACGGTCGAAAAATTAGCACAAGGAAGTTAAAAGGAGCAGAACCAGCACAAAACATGTAAGGTTCTAAAAATATTTCGAAACACTTTAAAGGATTTTAAGGATGTTTAAAACATTTATTTTCACTGGGAAAAAAGTGGCAGAAAAAGTAAAAAAGTATAAA